CATGTTCTTTTGTTTTTTTTCTCAACAGGCAAACACAGAATCTCACAGCTCAACAGAGGAAATGGCTTCAAAATCGAGTAATATATACAAATATGTAGTGAATATTTCCCACATCAGATGTTGGATACATGGAAATGGGTCCATACAGCAGATATCACTTTCTTGCCAAAAGTTAGATGAGAAGATACCAAACTCATATCAATTTATTTTAACAACACTGGTGCAGTGTGTAGGATTGAGTGACATCTAGCGGTGTAGTTGCTGATTGCAGCGCCTTCGCCTCACCCCCCTGTTTCAAGGGTGTAGGAGAAACTGGTGGCCTCCTAAATGTCACACACTGGACCTTTAAATCAGTTTTACTGTATATGATTTGCTATAAAAAGTATATTTTTATGTTTTTACAAGTAGCATGAAGTGAACTACGACCTACGTTTCATTATTATACAACCCTGCGTTGTAAAATGACAATTAAATAACCTTGTGTCTGTTAAATATGAAGGAGTTAGCTTAGCTTAGTATAAAGGCAAGAAACAGGGGGAAACAGCTAGCCTGGTTATATCCAAAGGCCAAAAAGAATAAAATAAATGCAAATTAACGTGTTATATCTTCTGCTTGTCTAAAACTGAAGTGTTGTGGATATATTATTATGTGCCTTACCATTTCTTTGAGTTTGGTGCCAACTGTTTTTACATTTTATAAAGTATTAGTGAGCTTTTTTCTACCATTGGAAAGACGCAGGTCAGGTTTCACCCTTGTTTTCTGTCTTCATGCTAAGATAAGTTAACTAGCCGCTTCTTCTAATCTTGGCAAGAAAGCGAACAAGCAAATTTCCCAAAAATGTGGAACTCTTAACCTCAGATTTTCTCGCCTGAAGTTGAACATTTCTCTTCTCGCCTTCGCAGGAGCAACAAATACCAGGAGAGTGGCTTCAAAGCCGATATTCCACCTTTACCTCCTCGGACACAGTTTCTCACACAAGGCAAGGAGACTCACATGACGCTATATTTCCCCTTAAAATCACCCCTTCCTCTTCTAAACCAACACATCATACACCCACTTTCACCACATTATCACAAGAACTGAGTACAAAAACCTTTTCAATCAGTTTGACTATAACTCCAAAATCAAAAGGGACATAAAAAATAGAGGATTATATTTGTGGTATCACGGGAATTTGTCTTGACAAAGCAAACAAATGTGGTCGCTGAGGACGGTAAAATTATACAACATGAACGGGCAGTGAAAACTCATCCTCTGTGACCCAGAAACTGGACTCATTTCCAAGAAAGAACCACACGTCATCTAATCCAAGCCGGGGGGTTTTTCTAAACCAAAGTTCATCCAAACGTCATAAAATCAGATTGAGTGAGAAGTATATATGATGTTCACAGTTAGGACAAACAAGAGAAGTGCCAGTATTTTCACAATCCTGACCAAAATAAATGATTTTGGCACAGTGACGTGTATGTAAATCATCTGCGACTGTACCACAGAGGAACACACAGCAGCTCAGCTGTTCTCGAAACACACAGCTTTAGAGATGTGAGTCTAGACCATGGGAAATAGCTTGTGTTTTATTTTTAAGAATTAGATTAGAAATATTTCTGTATATAAAGCATTTATGCATATTTTTATTAAAGTTACAATCTACATACACTCTAATGCAATACGTTATTTAAACACAAAATAACTGAAAACTTTAAGTAACCCAAACTCAGTTTTTTAGCTTAAGTTAAGCTGCTTTGACTAGTAATTTTAAGTATCACACACTTAGTTTTGTAAGTTAAAGAAACATTCCTGATTAAGTACTTATTTACTAGGAATTTTTAACAGTACTAATAAAAAATAATCCAGTGTCACTTAAAGCTACTTGATCAAGAATGTGTTTTTAACCTTTTATTAAATTAAGTTAGTTTTACTTAAAATCTTCAATGTGATAAGTTTCAACAATTCTTTTGAGTTAAATGAACTTACCTGGTTTAAATTCAAATAAATTAAGTTAGTTCAACTTAAAATGTACAATACAATCACTTTCAACAATTTTTTGAGCTAACTTAACTTATCTGGTTTCAGTTCAGTGAATTAATATTGAATTAGTGAATTATATGTTATATTAACTCAACTTAACTGCCGTCACAATGTCCAAAATTCCTGCAATCTATCAGCAAACCAACACGTTGATACATGCTCTAACTCCAAAAAGTAAAAATGAACCGAACATGAAATTTGTTGTTTCAGCGGCTCAAAGCTACGAGAACCTGGCTGAGGTACCCAACTACGAGCAGAGCATGCCCGATTATGAGCAGGACGTGGGCGACTACGAGCAGTGTACGCCCGACTACGTGGAGACCACGCCCGACTACGAGCAGAGCACGCCCGACTACGTGGAGACCACGCCCGACTACGAGCAGAGCACGCCCGACTACGTGGAGAGCACGCCCGACTATGAGCAGAGCACGCCCGACTACGTGGAGAGCACGCCCGACTATGAGCAGAGCACGCACGACTACGAGCAGAGCACGCCCGACTATGAGCAGAGCACGCCTGACTACGAGCAGGACTTGCACGACTATGTAAAGGTAGATGATGAGGAGAAGATTCTCCTGCCTCCACCACCATACCAGGATCCAGATCCATCAGGGGACAACACCTCCATGGAGGACTATGACGATATAGGTGAAGACCAGGGGGAGGAGGACTACGACGACGTGGGATAAGACCACGACAAAACAAGACACTTTTGACCTTCTTATCTGAGTCCTGCTGAGCAGAGAGATCAGAAAGACTTTAACCCTTCCAACAGATTTTCTTTCGATCGTTGGTATTTTTTTTATATTATTCGTGAAAAAGAAAATAGCAGATGAAGTTATATGTGCTGTATGTGCAGAGAAAAGCACAGAAATCAGTACTGAAGAGGCAGAAAACTGTAAGTGGTATCCAAACAACTGAGGCAGAAAGGCTTGATTCTACTTCTATAATCTTTAGCTAATTTATTCTAGCTTTATTTTAATTTTTTTAACAATTAATTAATAGATACGTGATTAACATGAGGGCAGGATATGTGAGACGTGACAAGGCAACATAGAGAAACAATGACAGACAAAAATAATAATAACAAATAAATAAATACAGTAGAAATAAGGAGAAACAAAACAAGAAGTAACTAACTTCAGGCTACTAGAAGTACAGATATGATTACGTAATTAACAGGAGGAACCGGAGTTGTAACTGAGATGAGATGATATAAAACGTTCTTATTGTTTGTTGTTTATTCCAGCTTTAACCAACATTGTTTACAGGCTGCAAACTGTCTAGTTATAGTTATAGAAGTGGCCATACTGGACAATCAACTAGCAGTTACGTGACGCATGTACATAGTTTAAATATTTGTGGACTATAGACAACATCTGTAACTAACTGATCAGACAGATGTGGTCTATCAAAATAAAGGTATAGGTACTTTTAATGTATTGTATATTTTGATTTAAAACATTTTTTTATCTCCATATTTTTTTTAAGAATTGTTTGATGTTTTTTTTAAAATATGCTTATTTGCTTTCGTGCTGAGAGTCAGTCAGAGGATTGTCCCTGAAAGCAGGGGGAAACAGCTAGCCTGGCTTTGTCCAACATGTTTAATGTTGTTTAATCTGTACACAAACAGAAATGTATTTTTTAAAGCTTTGAAATGTGTATTTTGTTATTATTTTTAACACATTTTTCTTATTGTCAACAAATCACATGAATCCAAAGTGTGACATAGAGCTCCTCTATTAAATATATATATTAAAAACACACCAATGAGCCGCCTTACAATTAACAGAGCTGTGGTTTATTTTGAGCCACCTGCTCTCAGAAATACTCACCAGAGAAACAGATGTGTATTAATCCACAGCTGAAAATAGTCCCTAACAAATGCACTAATTACTCCTGTTTGAGAAAGTGCCCCAGTTTTTTGGGAAATTATTTAGTATTTTCTTTAGAAATGAAACTATAATTTTGTGACACAGTTTTAAAACTTTTACATGTACATTTAGAGGCTCAGACCAGGTAGAGAAGTCAGAAAGTACTCAATGATAGTCATCGTTTTCAGATGTTTTTGTGGGATTTGCTGACAATAACAAAAATATAGAATATAGCCTGTTGCTAAAGCCTAGTTCAGACCAAAGATCTGCAACAAGACAAACTGAAACTTGCAGCTACTTACTGTGCAATGCCTTCTGAAACCCCGTCAGTTTACACCAAAGCAATAATATATAGCAACAACAGGGTTTTAACAGGGTTTTATTTGGGGTTTTTTTTTGTGGCTGGATATAATTTGTAGCGTCCTCAAACATAAAATAAAGATAGTGATAGTTGCATTTTATTGATAAACGAAAACTCTCAACAGGGTTGAGAATTTGAAGCCATCCACGGGTGTATGGGTATATTTTAAGGCTTTGTGTCAAAGAAATTGATGAGGTAATCGTCTTTTTTGCCTCCATCCGTAACTCTGCCATTTCAACCACACTGACAGTTTGTAACTGACTTGATTAGCTGACTTTGTTACGAGCTGATTGGCTGTTAAAGCATGTGACGTGTGTGACAGCCTAAAACCAGCCACTGGAGATTTGACAAGCTTAGTTGCATCAGCTAATCACTATAATGTGTTTTTGGCTTTATCCGAGTTTCATTAGTAGAACAGATGCAGGCCTTTATTGTGAATTAGTGATGAATCACCCTCATGCATGAATCATAATCAGTAATAGCCGAACTGTACGTATGACCCATGATGATGAAGATATAGAAAGACAGAAATGCAAAGACATCTGCTAGTCGAGAGCGTCTCTGAGTCATCAGCTACATCAGTGTTATTCTTTTAAATCTAAAAAACTAAAAAAACACCTCTGAGACCAAACTCCATTTAAAAATCTGCCACTTTAATACTAACATGCACGCTGACAATCACATCTTCCTAAATTTGAGAGCTTCTCATATGCATGGCAAAAATAGCATATGGGCAACATTTAGCACCCCTGTAGTTTGCACCCTGTTTCTCTGTTTGTATAAATCTGTCAACACAAGCATGAGGAATCATTGGTGCATATGTTTATTGAGACTGTGAGTCAATGTGTAATTTGGTCCTGCCCCTGACAAATATAATTTAAAAAACTAAAACTAACACTGAAACTAATAAAAAACTACTTTACTTTACTTTACTGTGCTTAACGCTGGTATGTTTCTATATCCTTTAAAGGATCTGTGTGTAGGATTCAGTGGCTTCTAGTAGTGAAGTTGCAACCAACTGAATACCACTCACAAGAGAAACTACGGTGGCTGCTCTCCTGGACTTGAACCAGTCCAAAAAGTTTAATATTCAGAGTTATTTCAAGGCTCACTATAGATTTTCACAGCATACATTTTCCCATGTCATTTCGGGAAAAGCCAAAGGTTGCAAAAGTAAAAAGTACTGAATATTTACTCAAGTAAAAGTAAAAAAAATCCTCTCTTAGTTTCTCTGAAGGACGTTTCTAGCTGATGTTTCAGTGCAAAGCTGAAACCTCAAATCGGGCGTGTCGTTTTCTTCATGTTATGTCTATCAAGCGTGATATGCACCGCTCTTAATATTGGGAAGGCATACAATAATAGTATAATAATAATAATAATCAATGATTCTCCTTAAATGCATTAAAAACTAAAGTAACAAGCCTGATCTGAAAATGTAAGAAAGTATGTATAGAGAGTAAAAGTTAAAACACTGCCGCTGTGAAAAAGGTCTATTTCTGTCTTTCCAGCCAGAACATGTCAGAGCTTAAAAACATGCTTAATACCCTCTTTATTTAACAATGAATAATATATGGGTGTAATGTGCCCCTTATGATTTCTATCTGGCTGGTTCTTCCACCTCTTGTTCCCATTTAGTTGGTTAAGAGTAATTTCTTAGCAGTTCTCCAGTCCCTTGAAGCCTTTTCAGTTTAATTATCAGAACTGTTTGTGTATTGAGGATATTAAAGCTTTTAAATTATGCAAACAGGTATTTCTTATCTGGGTTATTGCACAGAAGGGCTAAAAAACAATGCCCCATCGCACTTGGACCTGCAATGTAGTCGTGAAAAATGAACCTAATAAGGTTTTAGTGAGACAAAAATGAAGTTGAGAGTAACATGATGATTCACATATTCTGAGAGAGGAGGGACGCGTTTGCAACACTTTTTTTACGACGCAACCAGTCATGGAACGTTTGGATTGGTTCAGAAAGCCACTTCTCTGTGTCTGACTGGTAACCGTCACATTTCCTCAGAAAAAAAAAAAAAAAGTGCCATGTCTGCTTAAAACCAGAGTTTATGCATTTCTACCACCATTTGGCAACAACTGCAGCAAGAGTCAGCGAAAGAGCTGGTGTTGGTTCTCCTGCTCATTTCCTGACTGCTCAGAAGTCAAACGGGACGTCAAGGGAGGTTACAGTCAAAGTGCGGGGACTTCTAATAACATTAATGTAGTTGTTGCTTCTGTT